AATTAGTTAGCATAAATCAGTTAAATGACGAAAAATTAGGTGTCTATTTAATTGTGACCACTCAGTGTATATGCAATTATCTTTTGTCATTCCATGTGTTATTTTAATAAGGAAAATTGTGTTGCGTTTGTTTTTAAACAAAGGAGACTCGCTGCAATGCATTGCTGACAGAATTCTTTGGGTTTCGATACAATGAGTCCATCCAGCACAATAGAGCTCTCATGTTCGCTAAGTAGTCGCGGGGATTTCTTCCGCTGAATGCCACTGTTCCTTGTCATTTTTCTGAGCGCAAGAAAAGACTGCTACCGAAGTGAGCACTTTTTGACATTTGTCACTTGTATAAGAAATACCAAAGGGGAGATATTCAATTCTGTTTATAAAATCATGCATGTATATAGTACCGACATGAAAATATAAATATATATAAACCGAACAATAGCAAGTATATACTCAAAGACGTTCCTCTTTTATGCATTTGTTTTTTTTTTTTTTGTTCGTACTTCTTTCTTTAAGACGGAAGAAGTGCCGATATTTTTCGTGAAATTCTCTCATAAAAAGAAAAAATTTTGTTCTTAATAAGTTTTTTCTTTCTTGGATTAACCGTTCAGCACATATGAAGACTGACGGATCGATGTTGATATCGATATGAAATTTTAGGAATTGGAAAAAAATTAATAACTCCTGTAATGTACTCTTGATAAGAAGCATTTTGATAAATATATGCATTCTCTTCTACGATTAGCTGTTCAGGAGATGCAGAACGTGACAGATAGAGAGACATGTGACTATTATATATATAGATAGATAGATTGGGACGTGGAGTGGCCTAGTGGTTAGTGCTTTGGACTCTTATTGGAAAGTTTGCGAATTCGAAGCTTGCCTGCTACTTGTTGCCGTTTCCTTGGGCAAGAAATTTGCCCCAGTTGCTTTACGATATCCAGTGGGTAGCTGGGAATTAACATGCAATGCAGGTGACCGTTTTCAGCCGCTTGTGCCACAGGAAACCATAGTTAAGCATCAACCTTGTGTGTTTTTCAATCGTAAAACAATTAATTTATTCACTTTAAAATATATTAATTTATTACCCGTAGTGGATTTGCAACATTTCGAGCTGAAATGATCATAACTTTCTAATTGTTTGAAATTATTGTTTCAGAGTTCTAGGGCAGTGTTTGTTCACTATACTGGAAGCTTTGACGCATCATGGAAACAGACTGGGCCGGACATATTCTAGTACAAAGGTTCTCAAACGAAGGGTCTCGGTTCCCCGGGGCCGCAGGAAAGTGTCAGAGGAGCTGGAGCAAATTCGTAAACTACACAATGCTGTAAAAATTCTTCATTGGGTAGGGGCCTCAGTCAGGATGCGGAATTTTCTGGGAGCTTTGTGTACAGAATGTCTGGGAACCTCATTTCTAGTTGGTCTGTCGTGCTGCGGATCTTAAGGTCTAAAATTCGAGCCCGCAACATGCTGCTGAATATGCTATGCATTTTCTACTGTGGGAGCCTTATAACTGTGGCATCCTATCCCGCTATTCGGTTAAGATGATGCACTAGTTGTTCTCTCTCTGGTCAGCGATTCTAAATTAAGGACGGTTATGCCTGAATCTTTTATTCCGTGTGTCACCACATAGGCACCGTTTAGGTTGCAAATACCGTATGAAAGAGAACACATCATATGCAAAACTACGTATCATTAGAAGCTCGTTACATAACATGGCAGAACCAGCAGTATTTAGATATATCAGACTGAATAATAAAACACTTGCAAACATCTCGTGAAAGCTCCAGATAATTTATATAGTGGACAGGATACTTAGATTATATATAATTTATATATAGCGGACAGGATACTTACATTAACTACAATTTACATATAATGGACAGGATACTTAGATTATATATAATTTATATACAGTGGGCCGGATACTTACATTATGTATAATTTATATATAATGGACAGGATACTTAGATTATATATAATTTATATACAGTGGGCCGGATACTTACATTATGTATAATTTATATATAATGGACAGGATACTTACATTATGTAAATTTATATATAATGTACAGGATACTTAGATTATATATAATTTATATACAGTGGGCCGGATACTTACATTATGTATAATTTATATACAGTGGATAGGATACTTCGATTATATATAATTTATATACAGTTGACAGGATACTTCGATTGTATATAATTTATATATAGTAGACATGATACCTAGATTATATATAATTTATATATATCAGACAGGATACTTACATTAACTATAATTTATATATAATGGATAGGATACTTAGATTATATATAATTTATATACAGTGGGCCGGATGCTTCGATTATATATAGTTTATATATAGTAGACAGGATACCTATGTACCATATCCAAACAGGACGTTGGTAACCATGGTCTTCTACAGATCTCCCTCTATGTACCATATCCAAACAGGACTTTGGTAACCATTTTTTCCACAGTTCTCTCTCTATGTACCATATCCAAATAGGACGTTGGTAACCATGGTCTTCCAAAGATTTCTCTCTATGTACCATATCCAAACGGGACGTTGGTAACCATGGTTTTCCACAGATCTCTCTCTATGTACCATATTCAAACAGGACATTGGTAACCATGGTCTTCCATAGATCTCTCTCTATGTACCATATCCAAACAGGACGTTGGTAACCATGGTCTTCCATAGATCTCTCTCTATGTACCATATCCAAACAGGACGTTGGTAACCATGGTTTTCCACAGATCTCTCTCTATGTACCATATCCAATCATATCGTCCACGGTATTTTCTTCCTTCAATTTTTCCACTTACAATCAAACTTTCAGTTTCTTCTTTCCTCATAACGTGCCCGAAAGTTCCAATTGTCTTTTTGTGATGTTAGTCAGCAGCTTCCTCCTGCAATCTGGTCTTGACAGAATATCTTCATTTACTCAATTGCTTCAATTCTCTTTTTCATACTTTCCAATATTCTGATACATACGTGAGAATTGGTATAACATAACAATCCAAACTCTTAACTTCGTCCTCATAGAAATTTTTCTATTACTGTTATCATTACTAGCAAAAAATACCCGCGCTTCGCTTCGGGGTTCAAAGGCCCCCTCATGATTCACAGAGACCTCAAAGTAACATTTGAGCTCCTCCAAATATCCACAGTCAGTTTTATAGGTACTCCAAATGGGCCCCTACCCGAAAAAAAAAGTTAGGACACCCACCTGTAGTAGCGGGGCACGTGTTTGAAATTGGTACCGCTAGCTTGTGAGTGAGAATATGAACATAGTTTCCAAAATGACACGTCGTGATCAAGAGAGGGCCAGGAGCATACACTCCGATGCCAGATTTGAGTTCAGTGACCCTGAAAATCTACTTCTACACCACATTACACCCGGGGAGACCTTCTGGATGCATTTTATCCTCGCTTGGTGTCCCTTTTACGCCATACAAATAAAGCACATCTTGTCTGGTTGCCAAGTTTGATCCAAAACTGTGGAAAGAAACAAACAAATTCATACATATCGTGAATTAATATGGGACTTCCTATTTAGCCATATTATTATAGAGTAAAGAAGAATCGTGTTAACTCAATCTATATTAACATGTGTAAGATATAAAAATGTTAACTCAATTCGTACTACTTGTAAAAACTATTGTTAACTCGTGTTGTACTACGTGTAAACATGAAGGAATCCACAATAGCCGCGGCGCTTGAAATTCGTTTAGGCAGGATTAGAGTAAATTTATCTGTGAGACCTTAGGCGTGGTCAAATATATCAATCGAAAGGGTTTGACTTCCTGAGTCAAAAACTGGAATTAGATCTCAAATTGGTCTAGAGATGACCCAGCTATGAGCTAAAAGTTTGTACTTGAAAAAAGGACAACTCAGAACCGTTCTATGAACCACTGTGCCGCGGCTAAAAATAATGTTAATTCGTTTGGTTTTTCTATCGAAACAAAAAGATATCTTTCGAAAACTTTGTTCATTAACAGTGGAGAATTTACTTTGAATACCTTTTTTCGTAATAATGCATTTACCTTTACAGTTGACCTATAATATTAGCGAACATTTACATACACAGGATACAAAGCATTAAGTATATTAGTGCTTCCGAAATATTACGTCAAAGTATGTTAAAAATAAAATTCTTAGAACCTACTTTCCTGACTATATTACTGCATTGTTTTTTATAAGTTGATAAGCTTTTAACTAGTAACTGAAAAGCTGATAAAAAATACTTATTACTAATAGCCATATTTAATCACCGTTTAGATCACAATTCCATGCATGCAGCTGATGTATTACATGGCGTCTACTACCTCACCTCGCAGCCTGTTCCTGGTTTCGTACAAATTCCATCAGAATCTACAGATTCTCCCTTACACAAAACATTAAGTAAGTATATTTCTTTCGGGATAACATGCTATATTTTGTCTTTCTCGTGCGAGTGCAAACTCACGAGTTTGCAGATCGCCCATGTTGTAAGTTATTAATTATCTTTCTTATAAAAGAAATAAAACAAGCTTATTTAAGTACTGTCTTTTTAAATATTATATGATATATATATATATATATATATATATTTACGAAGTGTTTCTTTGGATGTTATACTTAAGTTTGAAAAATTAAGTAGGCAAAATAAAACAGACATAATATCTGCCGGTTTTACCTATTTTCACTGCATGAAGTGGCAAATTCTCTGGAATTAGTTGTGATGGTCTTGCATAGGTAGTCTCGAGTAATCTGGTATGTCAATAGGATTTGAACCCGATACTGTGGTGGAGGTAAAGGTGATGCTGAGGACATTCTGAGATGGTTATATTGGATGTTTCTGGTAGTGCCGATACTGATAGTTATGCTTGTTTCTGTGAATTGGCAGTTTTTTTTTATCAGGTTCAAGTCAGTCAGTTCTGATAACTTTCTACTTTTCTCTTTGTTCCACCAAGATACGTCACTAAGGTTCATCTCTGGATACTGTTCCTATGCTCCCTACCATTGAGTTTTTACCATTGATTATTAAACAACTCTTTCAGTTACTTCAGCACATTTTATGGCATAGACATATGATGTGGTAACCACTAAACATAAGTTGATTGTAAAAATATGGCCCTAAGAACCAAGTAATTTCTCTCCTCTGGGTGTCCTAGTCAGTGAATGAACTCCAATCTATCATTCGATTCACCACTTGAGCTATACCAGTTTCGTGGAATTCCATCCCTCATCAGTAACCCTAAACAAAGGCAAATCGAAAGAACAAGGCTAGCTTGTTTGCTTCAAAAATCGGAAAAATAAATTGATAACATAAATGACCCATATTCTTCATTTCTTATAAAATATAGGCTCACTGTAGTAAGTGGAAGACATACATCACCATACATACAGAATTCCCTGTAGTTTTTTTTAAGGTTCTTCTGTTTTCATTTCTCCCTATCTACACTTTGTCTCTTTGCTTTTGCTATGTCATAAGAGGTGTAGATGTTTTTCTCTTGCTCAAAAAACTTGAAGACAGACCAGCTAAAGATGCTTTTTAATATCAAAACTTCACAACTTATGATGAAACTATAGTAATAAAGCCAGACCAGCAGCTTTTCTTTCAGCATTGTATAACCCACACCGAAGTCATATATAGTCAGTCTTCCCAACATAGAATGATCCAGTTTCTTCCAACAACTGTCTCATTTTATCTTCTTATTTATAGGAATTTAGGTATGAGTAATAATTAAACCTTTGAATCCATCTTATATTCGAAGCTAAGATACTTCCATTTTCCGCTTCACCACTCGGAGGCCCAGCCACAGATCTGATTTAAAGATAGCTCCAGTGTCTATTTTCAGGTCAAAGTCAATAGTTACACGAAATCTCTTTTCACTAGAAGTTCATTTACGTCTAAAAATCGCATCAAATATTTTCGATTTTTATCCTTTCAATTGACATCAAAACAATGCTTTTCATTATCTGAATATCAACAAATTTGAATTATTATCAACTAATTAGCCGTTATTTTGATACTAAACTTTGCAAAATCATTTAGTTAGCCTTGTGTCTTGTGATATACATCAGTGTATGTGGTAATGTAAAACAAAGTAGTACTCTGTGACATTTGTATAACTTTTTTTATTTTTTTGAAGGATCAACAAAAAATAGATATCTGTATAGTTTTAAATAATTCAAAGAAAAAGTGTATGTTTCATAACATAGTTCTACACTAAAATGAACTGCAAAAGTCTGTTCCAGACGTGATGGCGCTGAATAGAAAGGTTACAAGCTTGTAAGCTGTGTAGATGTTCACTCCCATAGCTTATGTTGATTAGTAAAGAAAAAAGTTTAGACTCCTACCGTTTTAGTTATGGAATGTAACTGTTTTGACCATTAAGTAATTGTTTGTACCGACATAGGATGATAGACATTCGATAAAACATTTACACATATATATGAAAAATAAAACAATATCGTCCATTGAAAAACTCAGGTAAAATAAAGGAACACAGAATGTTGATTTTGATTTTTTTCAGAAAAAGGTTTACAACCATGTAATTATGGTTCCTTGGACGCTTAACATATAATAAGGTATTAGTGTATAAAACCTGTTTGACAAGGAACTAACTATATCACTAAATTGTCATTATTCCATACTAATGCTGATTTAAGAAACTTTTTACTGAATGTCAATAGCTATTTCGAAACACAGAGGTACAAATACAATAGACAAAGAAGCTATGAAGATTTAAAAATTAAAAGAAAGATTGGAAAAACAAATAATGCTCTATAGAAACGCTCTCGAAAAATCCCATATTAAAGAATTAGAATTATTTTTATTTTGTAACTTCTATCATGCAAACTAACTTAGGGAAACGAGATTTCTGTTTACTTAAGCTTTATGACTGGTTAAAGATACAAAAATTGAAGTCTCAAAAATATTATAGTCCGTTCTAAATTATATTATATTGTTCCACAAAATTGCTACTACTTTTGCAATAAAATGGCTACAAATTCCTGAAAACTTTCGCTTTTTTTCTGATAAAGTGGCTATAACAGGTTACTGGAATAAATACCCATTAATGTGTTCAAATTCGATGATAAGGACCCAACTTTGAGACTAATAATGGCTGGAGACGGCTTGAATGGGTAATGAAGAAAAACTTTAATATAAGTTTAACATAACAGCAAATGTACAACGTTTCGACAAGGTTTTTTCTTATTCGGGAAAAAAACCTTTTGAAAAGGTTTTCCTTTTTTGTTTTTTTTAAATTTTTTTT